TTGACGAAAACCAAAAGGGGAACTGAAAAGGGTACTGAAAAGGGTACTAAGGGGCCCACAAAGAGCTTTTTTTGAAGATCTAAAACTTCTAAAACCATCCCAACATGAGGGGTTGATCATTTGGAGCCATATCCGCACATGATGGCTGTTTTTGATGGTTAGACTTGATGAGACCTCTATTTTTGATGGTGAGACTCGGATGACCCCCTTAGACGTCCTTTCTGTGGGTCAACCCCTCCTGAAACAGGGTTCATCTATCGGTTCTAGGAAATCCGTCAAGAATTGAGGCCTAGGGAACCACTTTTTTGTGCTAAAGAATTCCATTTTGGATGTCCAATTGCATGACCCATACCTGTACGTGCAAATCCTTCAGCTTGAGGAGTGATTCGATTTCAGAACAGAGTGGAGTGATTGTGTAAACTCGGTAAACTGCAACAAGAACTGGATGATCCGGGAAACACTCTTTGAGATCAGGATGTGTTTCAAGGGTATTGACGCCATCAACCACTGTAAGGTGGCGTGAAATGTGTTCTTCCTTACTTCATGTCAAGCGAGAACCCAGTTCGAACTGTTTCACCCCATGGCTATTGTTGCCTGTCTCCTATTGTTGTTTGGAAGACCACTCATCATTCTGGCTTCATTCCACATTGTAGATCATTGTAGTAACCAATCCCCAAAGCTTACCCTTAGTTCGATGTTTGATTGTTGGTTACTTATAACTTATATCCCATATTATCCCATTAGAATATTCCATTATATCCCTATTTATAGATTTTCCCATTATATACCATTGTAAACACCATTTAACACCACATTCAGCTGCTTTTTCGTTGGTTAAATTCCCATCATAGCCCCCATAAAGTCTCATTGAACCCCAAAAACCTAGCAATTTTCTCATTTTTCCTGGGATTTTACGTTTGATGACCTCTGTGATACCCAACAAAAGACCCTTGCTGATGGGACCCCGTACTGCCAAAGGGGTCGTCCTAGCTGCAGGGAGGCCCGGGTCTTCGACACGAGGATCTTCGATCACGTGGCCAGCTTCAAACATCCGAGACCTGGGCTGAAGGGGGGACTTGGCCTCAAACATGGGAGGAATGCAAGGCACCAATGTTTAAAGCAATGGGATATACATTTGGGATGTGTAACATATATCTGGGTAAATTATAACGACCTCACTGCGACCTCACTGGAATCATGGTTAGTAAGGGAAGTCATCCCCAAATGGCCTTAATTCAGGTTAGTGAATTATTGTAATTTACCCAGATATATGATATATGGAATATATTGGCATATAGGAATAGATAGGAAATAGACACATCTCCAACAACAGATAAGTATATTTGGTGGATTCATCCATCAAAAGTGGGGATATCCATGGGATTGTTTATGGCGTTAATATATAATCAGCAGTCTTAGGCATGGGTGATTTCAGCATCAAGCCTGGGGCGGCATGGCACCAGCCACCTGCAAACGATTCTTTGGTCCTGATAACCATCAAAAAATGATCTGGTCTCCCCTGTACCAGGGCGCCCTTCTGCACCTGAGGAATTTCATTCGGACCATTAGCTTCACACAGTGCAACAAGTGCATCTGTCACCCGGCCTCTGGGGATTGGCGATATGGCGATATTTGATCATTTTCCCTGCAGAATGTTGGGCCAGATTTTTCACTCATATCAATTTCAGTTGGACAGGTGATGACAGGTGTTTTTTTTGCTTGAAGGGTTCCTACAGGATCCTTTTTCTTGTGCAAAATCGGATTCTTCGGGGAGGTTCCCGTCATTTCCACCTGTGACGCCCTGGGATTGGCATCCGGGTAAGGTACGGCCTGCGAAGATGGGTGCATCCGAATCTTCAATATCGCCCTCAGAAAGGCCGGGATCCAAGCGGATATTCACCAATTTCATCCAATTTCCCCGAGACTTTCGGCATCGGTGGATGACATGCCCGCCATAAGATGACTTACTGTAAGTTGTTGTCGTCCGTCATGACTTTGAAATGACGACAGTTTCCTTGCATTGTATATATTTAATTAATACTGACCAGTATGTATAATGCATATATATATAAATATGAAAACTATCAACGACCAGGAGGTGAGGTACTGTACAGCTTATTTTTTGAGTAAACATGGGTCTAGTTGAAGGGACCAAATCTCGCTGGTGAGTTTTAGCTTCAAAACGCATGGTGAGTTGAACGGTTCATCATTTTTTCCAGCAACACCTAAAATTTTTGGTGCCATTTATGGGGCTAGACTGACTCGATGTTTCACGTATACGTAACGGTTACTGATGTTACTGTGACATGTGGCTCCTCTGAGATGGAGAGGAGCTCCAGTGCTTTCAGACCGGAGAACCATTGACCTGGTCTGTCCTGGCTCCGGGTGGATTGGAGGCCAGTCTTGGAGCCTTGGGCTGGTGCCAGTGGTTCCTGCATATAAAATGGTGACCATTGACCCAGGATGATCGATGTATAATATATAATTATGATCATAAATAATATTATATATATATATATATACGCATGTTGATAGATAGATAAATAGATAGATAGATAGATAGGATAGGATAGGATAGGACAGGGCAGGACAGGATAGGATAAGATAAAATAAGATAGGTAGATAGATAGGATAGGATAGGATAGGACAGGGCAGGACAGGATAGGATAGGATAAGATAAAATAAGATAGGTAGATAGATAGGATAGGATAGGATAGGATAGGACAGGGCAGGACAGGATAGGATAGGATAAGATAAAATAAGATAGGTAGATAGATAGGATAGGATAGGATAGGATAGGATAAGATAGGAAAAGATAGGTAGATAGATAGATAGATAGATAGAAGATAGATAGATAGATAGATAGATAGATAGATAGATAGATAGATAGATAGATAGCTAGATAGATAGATAGATAGATAGGATTAGATTAGATTAGATTAGATTGGATTAGATTAGATTAGATTAGATTAGATAGGATTAGACTAGACTAGACTAGATTAGATTAGATTAGATTAGATTAGACTAGATAGATAGATAGATAGATAGATATTCTTTGCACGCGCTTTTTGGGAGGCATCTATAAAAGCCTTTGACTTTCATAGAACGCCTTGCAGAATCTGCACTAGGCACCATCCCGACTGCAAAAATAAAGCTATGTTTGCTTTTCCCTAACCACGGGCATGTAGGGTTCCCTGGAAGCCCCTTGTTGGCAAAGGATTTTCAAGCGTCGAATGGACAAAGGTGTTTCTGAGCAAACCATCCCAGGAAGTGACCACTTGGATGTACAATAAACATTAATAACCATAATCCCAAATAGGTACTATACCGTCTATACCCTACTTCATAAACCCCAATTTGAGATGGTTTTGCCGTAATTAGTCCCACAACTATATCATATATATAGACCCATGGTTATTCGACAATTGCCCCACCATCATCCCATTGTTACTGGCTTTAACTCACTACCATACCAGTAGTATGGCTAAGTCGTCGCGCCTCGTGGAAAGCGAAAAGCTAGGAAGACCTGATATTGGGGATTTTAGCGAGTAGATGAAATTGATATTTTTGGACTGAGCGCTAGGGATTCCCCATATGAGATGCATGACCGCGAACCACCATGTTTTGACCATGGTAAAAATATGGTTCTGCTTCTCTATCTTCATTAATACAAGTCGCTCGCGTTTCCAGGTTTGTTGCACCACCAGTGAGGGACAACTTCAGTCTCTTGGTCAAACCTCTGAGGAGGCCATTTAATGTGTGCCTGTCTGCAAGTGTGGATCTATAAGCATCAAAAAGTGGATTTAACCAGGAACAATGGGTACTTAATCATTTTCTACCAATTATTCATTGGGAATTTTTGACAATTAAGGCTAAATTTACCCTAAACATGGCCATTTTACCAAGATGAATCAAGTCCCTCACTCCCTGAGGATTTGGGGCGTGGAAGGCAGAATCAGCCGACGTTTGAAGGTGCAGCAGAAGCCTCAAAATTGATGAACCCAAATTGAAGAGCCATGGAGATCCCAAAATGAACAGGTTCTTGCTGCAAGGAAGTGGGAAATCAATGGAAATCATGCAACGCTTCAATACGTTTTAGTGAATTGACATTGCTTTTTGGCGAATCTGCAGTTTGTTTGAACGAACAGTAGTCAGTAACTGATGGACTTGTCAGGACAAGTATATAGTACCTTAGTACCCTCCAGCAATCAAAGATGGCAATTGAACATCCACTAGAAATTGAATTTTTAATGGGAAAAACTCGGAAGAACGGGCAGTGAAATAGGTAATTTTCCATTGCGACGTGTGATTAGCTAAGGGTAAACCATACATTCTTCTGGATTCTCCATATTTTTGACGAAGGCAGGGCCCCGTCGCGAGGAACACATGCGCTCTTTGGAAGGAAGTCTGGAAGTAGTTGGGGACCTCAGGTGATGAGGAGTCGGAAGCTTGCGACCCCAGATAGGTGGAAACCCAAGTTGGTTGATACCAGTGAAGACAGAGGTTACGAGGGTGACAGCTTTCCAGTTTTGCCGCAAAAGCCAGGATCGGTTTGGTTTTCTGGGCTCAGGGAAATTGCTCCCATCAGCTGAGCAGACTCCGAAGATTTCACATCTGTACAGCTGCACATGGCAAAAAACCAGGTGAAAACACCGTGAGCAGATCGTGAACTTTGTACCAACCAGACTCATTTATTTTCACATAATTACATAATTACATATATCTGGTTGGTGGTTTGGAACATGGCTTTTATTTTCCATTTCATATATGGGATGTCATCCTTCTCATTGACGAACTCATGTTTTTCAGAGGGGTAAGTCAACCACCAACCAGATATACACAACTCAGGAAACTCACCAAACTATAGCCAACACGGAATGGTACCGGCTGGCCGGCTGACACAATAGCATATGGAAAATAGCTACAATCAGTGGGTCATTTGAAGAAAACTATCCAATTCCTCGAAAGAATAGCTGCAGTCACGCCATTTTGACCAGTTCCAGCTTTGCCCTTGACTCCGTCTCCGTTTGGAGTCCATGTGCCACGATCATGGCACCCAAACGAGCCGCACGGGCGCCAGGTGGGTCAGATTCTGGCGGATCTGACCATTTCTGGCAGTACGGAAAAAAACAACATACCCTCCGGGAAACCAACATAGCTAACATGGTCCATTTATTGATTTACCGGATTTACCTACAAAAAAATGGTGATTTTCCTGATTTTCCATAGCTATGTTAGTTTACTGGAGGCTATATGAAGAACCCATCGAAAGGGGGGTCAAAACCGCACCATTTTTGTGACTGCTGATGGCTCCCATTCCTGGGTAGTCTCCAAAGATGCATTGTTTCACTGTGCTTACTAGCATCCACCACTCATTTGGGACGGTCAAGGCTATATATATAATATAATTATAATATATATATATATAATATAGTTATAATATATATATAATATAATTATAATATATATATTTAATTGATATAATATATAATATAATTATATAATTATATAATTATATATATATACACATATGTATATAAATAGATACTGTATATCTTTCAACATGGTACTCCTTGAATCCTTGAACGTACTCCATCACCAACCCTTCACCCAGGTTGACTCAGCCTCCGCCGTGCTCCAGGTGGACGAGAGCTGGTGTCCGCCCCGGAAGCTTCGGCAAGTCTGGTGCAATGCGGTGGGGGGAAATCTCCCATGCAGCTGGGTCCAGAAGGAAGGATGTATATCATCAGGCCAGGGGGTTTGGATCATTTTGGATCATTTGGATGTTTCCTAAGTCATGGGGGTACCCCCAAAATCATCTAGACTCTAGACCATGACTTAGTACTGAAACGACCATGGTGACTTGGCTATCTCGCATTTTAAGGAACCCCATTTGGGAACCTCTTTTGGGCCTCTGGAGATTGGAGGAGGATGTGATAGATACACGAATTGTGCATACCAGTAGCTGCAGATCCTAGTAGCCAAATGAGTAAGATGTTTCTTTTGGAAGATTCGACCAAGCTGCAAAGTGGAGGCTTACTGCAGCCATCCAAACATGGGGCTTTTTGGGTGGCACAAATATATACTTCTCATGATTGTGAAAAGTAATGACAATACAAGACATTGGCAATGCCAAAGAATGGAACGAAACCAAACGACATGGCCACACCTTTCATTCATAGCAAGTCAGTTAAAACTCCCAATCAGTTCAATCATTGTTGCTTGCACCCCGGAGCAATATGCTGGAAATGAAGGCCAACCATGATGTTATGTGTGTTTCCTTTTGTGCTGGTTTTTCCTGCAAGCTTCATCGACCAGGGAGTCGATCATGCCGATGCTGCAGCTGACGCAAGATGAGAAACCCATCGTCTGGCGGCCCTTCAAATGCCCCAGGGGTCAAGCCCTGGAAGGACTGGGTAAAAGGCCTGGACCCACCGGTGAGGCTTCACAGAAAACCCCAAGGTCCAAAAATGGGCCGGAGTTCCCTCTCTCAGCTTCTAACAGTTTTGAAATAGCTGGCCAAAAACCAAGGAACCTCCAATCGATATGGGCTTGTCTGAAAATAGGATACCCCAAATTGACCGCACCATGTTCCCAGTCAAAGTTGCCATTCAGGGGGGAGGGGGTTGTCAAATTTTCAGAGGCACCCATATTCAAGAACTGTATAGATATAGTATAAATATAGATACAGATATATATTTCGATTGATTTGGATCTATCTCAGGGGTGGTTGCAGCTGTGTTGTCTCATAGATAGTTATCCCCCCCAAAAAAGATAGAAAAGTCATTTACCACTACATTTACCACTATGATTCAATGGGATTTTACTTTTCTATAATCTTTCATCTTTCGTGGTTCTTTTTCGTGTTCCTATATTCATTACTTCTATTTATATATCTGCCATAAATCTCCGCTTGTTTGTGGGCAGAACCCTGGGCAGCCGCCTGCGCGACTTCAGCGGCTCCAGCGTGGCCACGGTGAAACGGTTCGTGGAAGACGAGAAGCCTCAGGAGGTACGTGGCCTGCGCGGCGTATCGCGGCGTCCCCCATGAGAAATGGAGGAAAATCTCACAAGTCATAGGGAGGATTTCCAACATGGAATCATCAAACATGGTGAGTTAACTGTAATGTTAACTATATTTAACTATGTTTAACATGATACAAACATGATATAAACATGATATAAACATGAAAACTAGGGACTTGTAACCATCAACACCCAGCAACCACATTCCAATTGATGTTTCAGCAACCAAGATGGGGATCTACAGTAACAACCATGGCGATTCAGCGTTTCCGTTGGCCTGCCATCCCCTAGGGCCTCGACAGGAGCCAGTGGATGAAGCCACCATCGCGTCGCACAAATTGGTGCTGTGGACCCCGCCGGCCGACGACCCTGAGCACCGGAAGGCCCGGAAACTGCTGCAGTCCCAGCAAGGTTGGACAAGTTAGGTGCTTATAGTGGTTAATAGTAGTTTATAGTGGTTAATGATGGTTAATCTTCAATGGTTGATGGTGGTTAATGATGGTTAATCTTCAATGGTTAATGGTGGTTAACAATGGTTAACCCTAAATGGTTGATGGTGATTAATAATGGTTAATCATGGTCAAGAGCTGATTTCTGTGTATGTTCATCCGCACATATGGTAGGTATCCGTCCCCATATTAGCCATTGGAAATACCACTGCTTATTGGTTATATACCAGGAGGTCGTCAAATGGTGTTAAGCTACCTGATCTCTTCCTGATTGTTTATATATATATAGTCCACAATAGGGATACCAACCGGTCGTGGGATGGGATGGAGATTTGTTTATGGCTCACACAGAAAAGTATGTAGATTTAGTCACCACTGCTGTATATGTTTCTGTATTTGAGTAGGATTGAACATTTCAATCTTTCTGGAGCTTGCTATAATTTCCTGTAATTTACTGTACATCAGTTCCAGCCAGTGCTACAGGTTCAGTACTGGTTCAAATATCAACACTTCAACATCCGAGGTTTCCCATTCAAGACCAAGGTTTTCCAAATTCTTGGACAGCACCGTCAACCTGAAAAAAGTATTGGAATTTCGGTGCTCACATGGTATTACATGTACCATTGTCTATACATATACAAATAATTACATATATACAGTATACATATATAGTTATCTCTAAGAATATAGTGCACGTGACAGTATGTGACTCTGCATGTCAATGTGGTGCCCCCATGGGACGCAGCGGAGGACGTCATCGTCGACTTCGACGTGTCCTGCAAACTGCGCGAGCATCAGCGTATCGGTGTGGCCCGGCTGATCGAGGTGATGCGGTGAAAGTGGACGCTCTGGAACCACGAAAGGACCACGAAGCAACAGGGAAATGGGGGAAATGGGCATTGCTCACCAGGGTGGAAGTTAAAGGGCAAATGATCCAGATGGTGGCGATGTTTTGGGAAAGTGTGCAACTTGGATCAACTTGGAAGGGTTCGGAGTCCACATTTGCTTTTCTCTGAGCCAGATAATTATCCACTTCATAGCTTCTGCTGTCGGTCTATCATCAATTATGGATGATGATGATGATGATGGTGATGGTGGTGGTGGTGGTGGTGATGGTGGTGGTGATGGTGATCCACAATCCTTTTCGCCCTTCAACATCCAGATCGAACTCCTTAACTCTTGTCCCATCCCATTTCGTCAGAACAGACCTTTGATTCATGACCCGACCTGGATGTGGTTCGAAATGATTGCCCTGCTGTAATTGTGCATATCCCATTGCCATGACATGGTTCAAATTGTTTAAGTGCCCCCAAATTGGATGATTCGTATTGCAGCCCAGCCATCCGATGCCCTTTTTCCCAGGGTCACTGATGAGGTGTAATCCCAATGGGTAATCATGGGTAATCAGTATGCATCTTTTACATCCTCTACAACAGCGACACACACACACACGCATTTCCCCCATATTTCTTAATATTTTCCTTCCAAAAGGACTTAAGTTCATTATCCCGTTTTTTTCAGAAAGGACATATCTTACTCTATCCAAAATGTAGCCATCATTTCAGCCCCAGGTGCAGTTTCTCTTCGACTGTCTCATGGGGCTCAAGGACTTCAATGGCTGCGGCTGCATTTTGGCCGACGACATGGGCCTGGGAAAGACCCTGCAGCTGCTTGGCGGTGTCAGCTGGGGGATTAAACGTTCAAAAAACTCGGGCTTTGGCAATGTTTAACCTACATGGATCTTCTGGTATATTCATGTATATTCTGGTATGGTGAAATCGGCATCAGACATATGCGGCGTAAGATTTGGTGATGTGAATTTTAAAACGTTCTATATCTTTCTTGCCAAACGGCAATGTACTGAGCCGTTAAGATATAAACTTAGTATAGTAGCTAGTTGATCGGCCATCAACTATGTCTATATGTTACATTATGTTACTACAAAGTCGCAATAAGATAGTCACCATGTCTAGATGTTTGAGGGATGCAGCAGCAATCAACGGCAGTTTTTTTTTCCTGGGATTGACCAGGACCAGGGGGGTACACACAGACGAGGCCCAAACAGATCCAGAATCATCCATAGATTCATTGAGATTCCAGGTAGAAACCATGGTTTATCCATAGTTTCATCATGTTTTGATGTATATATATATATAATTATATATATATACAATAAAAGATTATAGTATATATTTAAAAAATACAATACGGTATATTAGTATATATAATTTTTAAACAAGTGTTTGACTTATTCTGATAGCTCCAAATTTGGGACGTCATCCCATCGATCTTTGCGTCTCGACGGCCATGGTAATGGGAGGTCCGTGGTGGCCATCTGGACCTTGCTGACGCAGGCGCCATTTGGGGTAGAATTAGCACCATTGTTCAGACACACCCAGACATATTCATAGTTGTTAGTATATTTTAAGGTTGAATACTAACCACTTGTTTTGATATTTTTGATTTTCTAAAATGGTTAAATCATGTTGAATCTCACAAATTGTGGTGAAATCCATTTCTTTGCGTTTAAATCAATTTTAAATCCATATTTTTGCCTGTTAAATTCTCACGTTTTCAGGTCCACACAATGCCGTGCATAACCGCCTTGCCGCAGGGTGGCCCCTACGGCCGCGGCTGTTGCCGGAAAGCCTTGGTGCTCTGTCCTGCCTCGTTGGTGAAGAATTGGGCCGGCGAGACTTGGGCCACAGGTCGTGCTGCCGTTGGCCAAGGGGTTGGTTGAAATAAGCAATACAACTAGGGTTGATAAAGGTCTATATAAAGGTCTATATAAAGGTTAATGATGATTATAAACTATCCCCTTAGCTGGATTGTATGATGGATTGTATCATGGGATCAATGTGGATTTCTGGGGATTAAGAGTGATTTGACCATCATCTGCGAAGTTGGTTGAAATAAGTTAAGATATCACTAGGGTTTATGATGATTATGGCTATGGGAGTATGAACCACCAAACATAGCTAAGGGGCACCATGTTGCAGGGTTTCAAAGTGGTTCTACTGTATAGAAAACCCCCAAGTTTCTTTACACAAACTCAATCACAACTCAACTCATTTGGCGAAAAGTGTGGGTGATTGAAACATATTGAAACATGTGAACAAAAAATAAGTGCTGCTTTAAAGTATCTCCAATTGGCTCCATTTGTTACCGGGTAAGCCCCAGGAACTGGATAAATGGCTCCACGGCAAATGCAAATATCACGCCTCTTGGCAGCAGCTTTTCATGTTTTTTTTTCATGGGAGATATGGCAGTGTGTCAAAACCTTGTACCCCTGGTGAACATCAAAATAGCTGGTAAATGGATGTTCATCCCCCTAAAAATGGTATTAATAGGTATTGATCCATACCCATATCTACAGTTGAAAACGTCAAACCATTTTGGGGCCTGGTTCACCTCCTGGCGACTTCATTAGTTTTTCCAACGCGACGTGCACTGTGCGCGGCACAGGCCTGCGCCGTGACAGGGCAGGCGGGGGCGATCCCCTGGAAATCTGTTGGGGATACCGTTGATATCTGTGGATATCTGGGGTATATCCAACATGTCTGGGATTTGGCCCGCTCATGGCATCCAACAATGCCATCAAGCGCCGTCCCAAAACCTGCGCAGGCACAAGTGAGTGGCACGTTTGGCTCCTTCAAGTACGATCGAGAATCTCGGGTACCTGGGTGGATGTGACGGATGTCTTTGTATCGGAGGTTGGTCCCACATACTTGCGACAGAGGCAATCCCTGGAATCTTTTGAATCGACTTGGAGAGTCTCAGATACTTTCCATTTCCCATCCCTTCAGATGTCCGAGTTGACCAGTATATGAAGCGCTTGATACCACCAATCAGATGCGTACACATCACAGTTGCAGCCTGTGTCAAGTAGTGGAACCTGCGAGATATTTTCCATGATATTCCTCTGCATTTTTTTCACACAGTGCTGGAAAACCCTCCCATTTAAAGATACCATAAATCTATTGAACAATGAGATTTCCTACTGTTACAGGATTCAAGTAGCAGACGCTACTGCAAAATTTGTGTAACAAAAGCATCACCGCTGGCCCGTTGCGCCTCGAGTGCAGGTACTCATTGCTTCGTATGAGACCTTTCGCAATCACGCTCGGGAGGTGGGCCATGATGAAATCGCCTGGCTCATCAAGTTTTAGAAATTAGAACTTTGGAAATTAGAACAACAAAATATAATATCTGTTATACATATTTATAAATTATAGATCCTGCAAATGCCTTCCAAAGTCCGTGCTTCCCAGAAAAAATCATCCTTTTGCATTCTCATGTAGGACTTCATTTCAATTCAATTTCCGCACTTTGAGATCTTTGAGAGGATGTGATTGCAAATAAATAATGACATATCACCACCCTAAATTCTGAGCAAACCACTTTGGTGATGGTCTAAATTACGGACCCTGTGTGGCCTGTGTGACCTACATTAAGGCAATCCTAGAATTGGTTTAAGGACGTTTAACGTAAATTTACACCAATACCCCATATGGATCCACAGGGACTGACCATGGACCATCCGCAGGTGGAAGACGCGGGGATCGATTTGGTGGTCTGCGATGAAGCGCACAAGCTGAAGAACGACGAGGTACGGAACGGGACCCGGGGCGGAAGTGGAATCCATGGCTATCTTTTTGCTCCAAACGATCTGTGTGAGGCAATTTTGTTTGGACCAGTTTCACCAGTTGCCTTATTATTAGAAGTTTGGCAAAACAAACAGGGGCTCTTCAGCATTCGCAGGCAGCAACCACGAAATGTATCTCTGCATTGCCGGCGAAGCGTCGGCTGCTCATCAGTGGCACACCGATTCAGAACAGCGGCTTGGCTTGCCATTTGTTCAGCTGGTGCCCGGTGGAATCTGTTGATGCTTTAGGATGGTGAATTGTACGGCTTGCAGCGGGTGGAAGGAAGGGCAGAGTGGGATCACCAGCACTTGATACGCTTCATAATTATCATATGTTTCTTTACATATCTTTACTATATTTTACTTGATGATCTATGATGTTTTTCTGATATATATATAATGATACTAGTTGTGTCACTAGTCCATAACATATATAATCTTCAAACATATACAGAATTATATTATGAGCCAGACAATTTACTAGCAGTTCTGCGGAAAGCCCAACATAACCAACGGTCTATATATCGCTGATATGTAACAAGACATTTATGGCTTTGTCTGAACATGGGGTACCAAACAATCATAACATAACCGAATGCATGATCATCATTTCCCCATCATTTTCCCTTTTTAAAGTATCAACGACAATCATTTTGTATTTTTTCCATGATGTTCGCTTTGAACGTGATCATTTGCTCATCATTTGCTCATCATTTCTGCCATGTGACAGCCATTCCCAGGTCTGGAGGAGTTCTTTACCTTAGTGAGCCTGGCGAATCCAGGCCGTGGGAATATGATGGAATATGGGTGATTTCATGGGATTTACTGTGGTAAACTACTAAAAAAGATGTGGAAAATCCCATGATCCAGCATTTCAGGCGACGATTCTGGGAAACCCGGAAACCCCATGGAGTTTCCGAGGTTTCCACATCATTTTCTATGTTTAACCTAGGGTAAGCTAGGGAAACATGGGGACTCTACCAACAATAATGGTGACTTTTAGGAACCCCCTACTAGAGTTTCCTCTGGCGTTTTTTATTATGTAGACATGCTGACATGATCTGACATGCATTACCCTCTGGTTTTTTAACATAGCCATGGAAAATCACCATTTGTAATAGGTAAACCATCTATTTCGATTAGGGCCATCTATCCAAAAACCATGGCTATGTTAGTCATAACCAGGTTGGGTATTAAATAACCATTGGCATCCAATTCTTGGAATCAATTTTGACCCAAAAGGATGAACCTTTGACGGTTTTTTTGACGATTTGATGGTCACATCTTGGGGGTAATCTCGGGGTTTTTGCAAAGCCAACTTTATTGGATGATGAACACGCACCTCCAAGTTGGATTTCCCCAAACTGGATAATTATCTTAAACAATTAACATGATATATATATATAATATACGTATATATATATAATTATATAATATATATATATATAATATACAGATATATATATATATATGATGATGATACCTTATCGAAATTGCCATGGTATCTTTGGTGCCATGGGCCTCCCATCGGCCTCCCATCCCGTGACCGGAGGCGTCTTTGGCGCCCTGCACGAGTTCCGCAAGAAGTTCGCCAACCCCATCCTGCGCGGCCGGGAGCCCACGGCCAGCCCGGAGGAACGCGCCAAAGCGGAGGCGACAGTGAAGGGGTGAAGGGGTGGAGGAGGTTGACTTAGGCCTAAATATAGCTGGTTGGTGGTTTGGAACATGAATTTTATGACTTTCCATATATTGGGAATGTCATCATCCCAACTGACGAACTCATATTTTTCAGAGGGGTAGGTATACCACCAACCAGTATATATATATATTGATAATATATAAATGATAAAACCGTACAAACTGATAGAAACAATGAGACATCCAGTTTCTAATGGTGGAGGTTGACTTAAAAAAACTGATAGAAAGGGCAAGAACCCGATTACTTGGGCTTAAGATGGCTGGAATATAATTTGTCTCGATTGTATTCGTAAGTGGAATCATGGGAGTTGGATTCATGGATCAGGGATTGGGAACACTTATTAACACATCAAACCAATTTATATAGGTCATGATACTAGTCATGATTAGTGTTGGGACAGGCAGTGTCAACAGAGTGATGTATATACGTAATGTTATGAACGAATGCCAGGAATAGGGATGAAATGTGCAGGAGTTTCGAAGGAAAGAAACAGAGTTGTTTGAGCACGAGTTCCTTGCAGTTTTTTTTTCTTTTTAAATTTTAAAGGGTGATTTACTCTTTCAACGTTGAATGTTCGTGCTATGAACAGTGAACCGTTCCCCTGGCTGTTCCATGGTCCTGGTAGCCGCTCTTTGGCGACTCAAACTTGTAATAAACAAGTGCTCAAAGGATCTCAAAGGCAACAGCATTGTCTCAAGAACTGCTCATACAACAATCCCTTGGTTGTGCATATACCTAAAGACACAGAGTAAGAATGGGATAATGGGAATTAATGGGATAGGATGGATGTTGAATGTCTGCCGCAAAAGTTTGGTACTTTATGGTACTTTCCACCTTTCCGACTTTTTGGATCCCCATCCCACCCCTCCAAAGTCGACTTCTGCCAGGAGATGCTCTCGGAAGTTTCCCATGTGACGGACAAGTTCATCTTGCGGCGCACCAACCGACTGAACGCGCGCTTTTTGCCTCCCAAGCAGATCTTCAATGTGCAACTAGGGCAGCAGTGAACAGGGAAGAGTTGGGAGATCGGTAAGACGTGTTTTGCTTCAAACATTGGGATGCAACAGTCGCATACAGTCACAACAAAAAACCGATTTGATCTACCATCTGGTAAACTAACATAGCTATGGAAAATCACCATTTTTCATGGGAAAATCCACTATAAATCACCATTTTCAATAGCTATGTTAGTCATTACCAGAGGGTAAATCCACGTTGAAACTGGATTTGTCTTAAACTCGGAGATGCCGCCGACGCGGTAGGTAGGCATTCTGAATTTCTTGGGAAAGTCATGACAAGCCGTCTCGTGATTTTGATTGGTTTTCCCGGTTTTAACTTCAAGAGGACCCCAAATGGGTCGATTTGTACCAACATGATGGTGCAACAATGTGCAACATACCATTTTTTAATGTGTATTTTCAGATTCTAGATGTCAAGACCGCTATTCTGACAGGCTCTCAATGTATGTCACTGGTGAGCCCCAAGAAAAAAGGGTCCCCGGTCGCATAGGATTTGGACAAAAAAGGGCCTGAGATTCCAGGTGTTGGCACCTCTGAACAGTAAGAATGCCTCGTATGTGAATGTATGAATATGTACGATATAGATATACACATAAATACATACATTATATATACATTGCATTCTATCAACATAAGTACATTATTATGGAAATATTATATATACATATGTAATGATAATTATATATATACATTATGGACATATATATATATATGATATAGATATGACATGATTGTGATGTGATGTGATGTGATGTGATGTGACGCTCAGATTCGTGATGCCCACGGACTTCCAGCGACGCCTCTATCGGAGCTTTCTCAAGTCCAATGTGCCTCGGAGAAGGCGAAGTGTCACTTAGTTCGCTTAGTTGGTGGTAAAGCTATTGGGGGTTGATCAATCCGGGCTTTTTTATGGATGTAAACCTATTGAGGGTTGATCACTCGGGGATTTTTTGATGGATTTACCCTCTGGTAAATGAACAGTTGGACCCTGAAAATCACCATTTGTTAGTTGAAACTAATCTCCCAACCGCTATTTGCCAGGGTCTATGTTTATTTACCAGGGTAATCACAAACCATCCGCATTGTTTGGTGCACCCCTGGATGGTATCAGATGCCAGGATGGTCTCGTAACCACGATGTGACCTTTGACCAGGAACTGTTGTGTTTGATACTGCCAGGTGAACGGCAGTTGAATTCAACTTTTTTTTGACAAATGCAATAGATGGGCATATGGGCATATTATGCATATTTAGCTGCCAAGAGTTTTTTCCCTCAAGGTATCTAAGTATCTATGGTTTTAAGAATCATCCCATTGATTTACACTGCGTACACCAGAAGAAGTTTTTGCTCAGGTGGCCCGGAAGTTATTGGAAGATCAGAATTGCAAAATGACCCGCTCGGTGTTGAGCACCATCAAGAAGCTGCAAGGCGCAGACGACGACGATGCGGGATTTTTCTTGGGGAAGCGGCCAATGTACGAGATGAACAGTGACCAAAACCCTGGCTGGCTGATTGATTACAATATGTAATAATAGGGGCACACACACACATATATATACGTATATATATATACGTATATATATATATACGTATATATATATATACACATACATACACACTACCCAATATTTGGGGATTATATAAAACGCCATTGTGGGAATCCCTATCAACCAACCAGAGATTTTCGGATCAGCATGAGATGGACACAAAAAAAGAACCGGGATTCAGTGGAGTCAATTCGTGTTAGAGTGTGTACCATGTGTATCATGCAAAACAATACAGACACGCACACACAATATTCATGTATTACTATATAAATATATATGTTATGGTTCTATGCTTCGCGCTGAGTCTAGAAGACCTTCTCATGTCAATATCCCATAAAAAAATGGTAAAATGGGGGTTTCAGGGCGTGTATGTTGGTATGTTGCTTGTTATGATTTTGTGTTGGGGTTCAATGTTTCATCCTTGGTTTTGATGATTTTTCAGGTGGGGTTTTGGGGGTCATTTTGATGCTAAAGTGATGTGTCAATGTTTGGTTCAGATGAGGGTAGGATTTGTTTAGGCTGTTGGGGTTTGTGTTTTGGTTCAGATGAGGGAGATACTGTGGATAGTGTACTTGTGGTTGTCGTTTTTTATTGTCAAGGTATGTCTTGTCTTTTTTTGGGTATGATTTTATTGTGTTTCCTTATCATCAGTTTCAAGACAGAACATTCAACTTGATATCTTTCAAAAGGTTCCATGTCTTTCAACATCTTTCATTTTTTATTCTCTCATTCTCGTCTTTTTTGGTGGCGTTTTTTCTTGGTTGTGTTTTGATTTGAACGTCTTTCGCTTCGCCTCATTTTTTGCGGACTTCTTCATGGACTTTCTGGATTTCGTCGGGGGCGCCCAGATGAGATGTGCGCGCTGTTTCGTTTGCATGGAAGCATCACTTTTGAGGACATATTGCGTTTCTTGAGGCACTATGTACACTCTATGTACACATTGTGGCATTACACTACACCCAGAGATGTTGATTGCTTTCTCCCGCAGCAGACAGGCTCACAAATGCTCACAAGATAAGATGAGTTCTACTTGCGGCATGTGTTGCACTATGAACAAGTCAACGCATCAAGAAATCGTAAAGTGCTTGAGCTCCAGCACAGTCCCAGTTCTGGAGATTTCCGCCATGGGTATGTCGCGTTGCCTCATTGCCCGATGTTGTGGTTTTCGGCTTCTCATGTCAGGCCGACGAAACCACCGTTGCTTCTCAAACAACGCTCCAGAGAAGGAGCCGACCACGAAACAGCAGATTGGAAAGTGGTTGGTTGGTGGTGGTGGCTCGTTGGCCATCGTGACCTTTGGATGGGATATGTGGCGGCATCGTCAAGAACAAGAACGGCATCGTCAAGTGAAGAATGAAGAATATCATTGTGAATGCCTCTTTCAAAGCACGCGAGCCACGTGTCAAGATTGAACGGAAGATAATCAAGGCGTCCAAGCACCACCTTTTTTTTTTGTGTTTGTCCCTGCGTTTCTTGACAGAAGGGATTTGTTCTTGAGATAGGTGTTATTTCATGTCATACTGACATTTTGAATTTGATGCACTATGCTCACTATGCACTGTGGCAGGACGAAATGCACCAGTTGTTGGACTTGGACGACCCCCGCCCAATCCTCATCTGGGGGAACCATGAAGTTGGCAAGAGCACCATCCTTTGGGAAGTGTTGCAGGAGAAACAGTGGAACAATGGAGTGCTCCACATCAAGCTCATGCAGAACAACGACTTGGCCAAGGACGCATTGAGGAGCAGGTTGGCAGTGCTCCATGAAGAGGAGGTGGTGCGTGGTTTGAGAGGTGCCAAGACAAGAATGGGACGAAAACCCATCATCATCCTTGAAGTTCCTCGTGGTGTCTTTAATCCAGATGTGATGAGCAGCGTCTCCGCCTTTGCGAAGTCATGGGGCTTTGATGACGAGGTTGCCAAAGTGCTGGTGATGGTCAGTTCTGCAGTGTCAGCCATGGCTTTTGACGCAGACGGTCGTGAGCGCCGATTCTTCGTTCCACCACTGACGAGTGAAGAGCTCTCGCAGAAGGAGGCCATAATGAAGAGCTTCAGTTCATGTGGTAATTGTTCAGTCACCTTCAATCACTTTAGTGCTTTTTGTTGGTGCTACTTCTGGCATGGGTTGGGATGTTTGCAGATGGACATCTCCTTGTCAGGTTGAGGAATTCCTACGTCATCATGGCGGTGAAGAGGCCTCCAAGCACAAGAGCGATATGATTCAACTCACAGGTGGCAACATCGGTGTAATGGAGGACAAGGGTCATGAAACCATGGGACAACAACCCGAAACATCAACGAACGTTGAAACCTTGAAACTTGCCCACATCTCCTGCAGGACGTGGCGGAAAAGGCCAAAGAGACATCATGGGAAGAAGCAAAGTCCAAACGGCTTGTGGTGCAAGAATATCAGGTCGAGAAGTTCTTGGGCATTGACAACCAAGGTGGCTTTGGCCCCAAAGAGGCGAGGATGGCACGCACCTTGGCCAAGGCCGTGGCGCATAGCTCCTTCGAGCAGTGTGTCGATGCCAAGCGGTTCATGAAGCACTTCACGCCTGCGCACATGGCCGCAGCGGTGCGGCAACAAGGAGCTCGTTGCATCTATGTGGATGCGCGGGCAGAGGGGCAACGCTACTGCGCAGTGTCCCGCACAGTGCATGACCTTTTGAAGAAGGTCTGAAGGCGGAAGTGGCAGTGGCGTGTGAATGAGAGTGCTTTGTTCCTTGTAGGACCAGTAGGACTTTTGGATTGCCATTCGTGATTCATGGATGGTGCAATCCGCATTGCGTCCAACCAGACTGGCAAAACACAGAAAGGTGATGATTTTTATTGGGGTTGCACCTACCCTTCAATCCGGGATGCATTCTATCTGCGCTGCACAATGCACCGGTGGGACAGACTGCACAGTGTTCCAAGACTGGATGAGCAAAAGTGAAATGAAATGGCAGAGATTGAAGATTGGTTTGTTTCGCAGTTGTTGGATTGGCACTCTCAAATGTAGCATTCTTCAGGCCCAGAAGTTTGGTGATGATATCAACCACTTTTCACTGCTTTACTGTATCCAATTGCATCCAATTGCCCTCTTCCACTTGCCGAATGCGTCCGCGCCAAGGTTGTGAAGACATCAGGGACACCATCTATTAGAAGGTCAATCCCAGCATTTGTCATAATGCAAGATTTTGGAAACGGGTTCTATCAAAGCCTTGAAGCAGCGAACTATTCAAACAGCCTTCAAAACCTGATTGTTTCGGTGAAAATCCAAACAAAGATTTGCTGGAATGACATTTCCAAGCAGTCTCCAAAACTTGACGTTGGTGATGATTAATTTAGCAATCTTTTGGGGGAGCATTCTGTCCATACCCCTTGAGCATGTATTGGTTCATATGCACCACACACCCGCGCAAACCCACAGACCCTTTAATCCTCCCGATTTGTTCATCTTGTTTCTTCAGGGAAATCAAGTTTCGTCGGAGTGGTCTGGAGCATCCAACGGGTTGGGACGGTGTGGCAGGGTTAATGTTTATTATGTGTATATATATATAGGATTATATAGGCATATGTGATGAAATAGTTCAAGTTGTTTTTCGTGGAAACGAAGAGAGACAAACCATCCGCCCTGCGGGAGTTGATGGCAGATGAGCATGTTTTTTGGGTAATGAGGCTTCGCCATACTGCTAACTTCAACTGAAGGCAATGCAGTTGCAGTTTCCCAACAAGCTGCAACAACGACAATGGCATTCTAACAACTTTGACAGCGGCAGGAACAGTATTCAACAAGTGTCCTAAACTGGTCTTTTCGAATTTCTTTTCACATCATTTTGGGACACCTCATTTGCGAACACAGAACACCCCAAAGATACTTAAAGACAAGTCGCCTTATGTAATTAAGATCCTGCTATTTAGTAATTGATGGTAAGAAACAAGAAATGGATGAGGACATCTTTGACCAACTTGTTGAAGCACTCAATCCAGAAACAGTCCAAGAACCCCCAATCCAAACCTCTACAAGATGGAAACCCGATGGAACTTATGACAGCAAACCATTAGACCCCGAATACTTCTCAAAATGCTATCAAAAGAAACTCTCAACACCCTTCAAGTGTCCCGACTGCGGACGCACCATTTCGTCCAAATCCAATTTATCCAAACACCGTCAAACCAACGTTTGTATGAGAAACAGATGCCAATGTTGAAAGGTGCTTTAAGACACCTTACGGCACGTTTCGTTCAAAGGGTTTTCCAATCCAAAATTTTCTCAATAACAAACATTTTTATTGAGAAGGTTTTTATGTTGAAGTCCAACCCCAATCCCAGAAATTCCAACAGGCAACCAATACCCAAAACTACTTAAAGAAATGCCACCTTATAGGGTAAGGAGTAAATGGCAGAGGATACAAGGTTGAAACATTCAACAGAGAGATTTTATGTTAAAAATCAATCAGACAACCAATCCAATCAACCGCAACATCCTCAACAAACAATGGAAACTGAAAAACTACTTAAAGAAACATCCACTAATAATAATATAGAATATACTATAATGGACGCTTCACAGCAGATTGTTTTAGATTACCTTTTATCATCCGAACAGGGTGAGATATTGAAACGGAATGGACAGGAACTCAAGAAACTCAAGATTGGAGACAAGACCTACAACTTTGAAAGGGGAAAACCCATTTCAAAGAGGTTGATTACCAAGTTCAACAAGATTAAGCAGACTATGGACTAAAAAAAGTATGAACTGAAAGAGAAGAGAGGCATTAGATGGGTCAATCTTGACAAGAACAAAGCACTCACAGGCATCCAAATGAGATACAAAGCAACCACCACCAACGAACAATCTGCTTTCAAGGGTTATGTCAATTCATTTGCCATCACAAA